CTTGCAGCTTCAATGGCACAAGAACAAAGGAAAAATCAAATCCAAGTTCTCCTCTCTCTAGTTAGAAAGACAACCTAAATCCACTATTTCAATGCCTGGAGTCCCAGTGATGGTTACAGAGCAAACTGACCCTTCTCTTCAATGGCTTTCACTACCTTGTGTTTTTGCCACAGTTCAAGCTGCAACTTCACTTCTCCCACCTCACTGACTCCTTTTTAGCAATTTTGAAGCACAATTGGAGGTTACACAAAACTCAGACTTTCAGAGAACTGTGACTCAAAAGCATTTTGAGATCTGAGCCTCAAAATTGGGTACACACAGAGCACGTGGCATCCTAGATGAAGCAACCTGACTGGACCGTCCTTTTTCTCAACTTCGTATATCCCTGCACCACGTATTTAATCTCTGTATATACCATACCTCAGAGCTGCCAAAAGACTCTGCAGTATCACTATAGATGTGGTTTGTTTCTAAAAGCTAATGCAAATCTGAAGACAGTTGAAAGATTCCATTTCTTTGATATTCAAAGTCTACAAAAAGAAAATCTAATTGTTACCACTTAAATCCAAACATGACTGAAAAAGAAATAAATCAGTCAAGCTGTCAAGAAGGGACCAAATGGGTAAGCAAAGGGATACAACAGCATAACCAAAATATAAACATGGAAAGAACAGCTTTCCACTTGTATTTGTTCTTAATGGGAAATACTTGTATTTGTCTAGAAGTAAACTTCGTAAATGGGCACACCGAACAGCTCAGGCTATAACTGCATTGTCATTCTTCACAGACACACTATGGATTGGTTTGTAAGCCTCAAAGCTAAATTAATTTAATAGGACAACTACAATTACACATTGTTGCCATTAGTACAAGCAAACAAAAACCACAATCAGATCTGCAGCGCTGTATTCTCCCCAGATTTCCTTCAGTTAAACCGGACTCGGCTTTCACGCGGAAACCAGGTAATGCAGGCAGCTCGCGACACTAATGGTAAGATTAGAATGAAGCACATTTACTCTCCTAGGGCTTGGGATAATTTTCAGAGATAGAGAGAAGGGAAGCAAAAGGCTAAGCTTCTTAGGATATCCTTCTTTCCTATTTGACCTAGAGCTTATCTTCCCCCATTCCTTCCTTTCCTTACACAGGATGCATTGTTAGTGGCTGATGAAATAATTACGTACGACAGATACTATGCCTTTTAAAACAAAGGAGCAGCCTATATCATCTTCTTTTCCTTTTCTGTTGCAGAACACAAATAAGATGTGTGTTGGTGCATGCCAGATACTATTGAAATGATTAGATTCTTGCAGCCCTTCTTCCTCCAAGGAAACTCCATCTGGTTTTGGACATCAGAAACGGAAGCAGGCAGTTCCTAGTTCAAATGATTTGCTGCGACAGAAAGCCCCAGTGAATGGAGCAAACACTTCCATTAAATGTTAACACAAAAGGTGCATTTTATTTCCATTCAGCCATCGACATCCACCTTCCAGATCTCTGCAAGCCATGCCTTTAATGAGTGGACACATCGCAGACTCAAATTTGCAGAGGACACGAACACCTACATGCCAGAAGTGAAACGAAACAGGAGGATGAAGTTTCAGACCAGCAAAGAGCTGGAACAGCTATAGCACAGCTAAATACATTTACACAGAGCCAGCAATATTAAATGGTTTGAGGGTGGTGACCATTTATTTTCCAAATGGAAGAGGCAGGAGCAAGAGAGAAGGATCTAAGAAACAAGCTCCATTCTCCTTGATTTTAATGGTTGGGAAGCACGAAGCAAGCTAACCACTCAGCCCAAGCCCATGCTTCTGTCTTCATGACATGAACAGTCCCCAGTTTCATGCATGACGGTATGTCGGGACAGCTCGTAGTGCTGTAAAGGGCAGCAGATACTCATCTCCACTTCTCCTTGCCCTTACTTCCCAAATTCTGTCTAATCCAAAGGCTGAAGAGACAGCAGCAAAACCAAGGATGCTACCAGCTATGCCAAGTGAGTGACTGTCAGCAACCTAAAGTCCTGGGAGAGCTGTTTTGATTTGTTACCATCTTCCCCAAAGTAAAATTAAGGGAAAATAATCTCATAACAGAACACCTTATCAAAATTTGAATTATTTCAGTGAGGTATAAAATACAAGTGATGCACACAAGAGGTTCCCAAGTTGGAACATGCTTTGAAAGACAAAAATCCTGAACTGAAGCATTCTTAAGCACTCGGGTCCTTGACAAAACTAAATGGTGGCTGTGACAGAGTCAGTTTGAACTTTTAATCTCATTTAAGTCCCATGGAAATGAGGAACTTAGTCAGCTTTGGGAAACAGAAGTGGAAAAAAATTGGGGGGGGTGGGAGGGGAGGGAATGGAAAGCCCAGTTCTGCAGCCTTTTAAGAATTTACTGGAACTCCTGATCTCCATCAACCAGAAAGGTTTCTCCTCTCTTGACCAACAGCACTCTTTCTTTAGGTTTGATACAGACTGCAAGACTATAAAGACAGGAGACAAGCATCACCTACTTTAAACACACCCAGAGCATTTCCCCAAAACTCAATTTGTCAGGGAAGTTTTACCATTTAAGATAACCCTTGATAAACTGTTCTAATCCTGACCAAAATAAAAAACTCAAACCATTGAGCTCTCTTTTAGTATTCCAGTGGAGGCAATTATTTAATCCTTAAGTGTAAGATTACAACATTTCCAGTCAATGGAAACAAAATAATCAAGGAACAATCTAACTTGCTTTTCGTACGCTCCTGGTTACACCAATTTCCACAGAGGTATTTGCCATACCTTCTTTCTTTCATTGCTAGAATACAGTCACATCAATACCAGCAGCTTTTGTACATGCAAGGAAACAGAACACCCAATTTATTTATACACTAACGTTTCCCACCAAAAACATAAAGCTTAAAGCCGGTAGAGATTTAAATACAAACCCACAGGAAGTGGTCAAACGAAACCAATGCAGCTTGTGCTGAGCACCTCCAGCCCTCAAGGCAGTAAGACAGCAGCATGCACTGCAAGTCACCTCTGCTGTTGCAAGCGGGCACAAGAACAAGAACCATGCTTCCAGGAAGAGACAGAATCAAGTTTTGATAGTTGAAAACCTGCATGGTGCTACGCAAGGTGTTTTGTTGTCACAGTACTACCTAAAAACTGACTGCTAATATCACAGTAGGGATCGATTACTCAAACTGTAAGATGCTGCAAGGCATCTGCATTGTTACAAGAAACGAGCCTGTAATTGCCATTTTCTCCAACAGGAAACAAAAACCCAACAAAACTGTTGGCTAAAACATAGAGAGGAGTCAAGTTAACACAGAAGAGCTAAGACTGCATACTTACGCACTGTATAGTACTCAAAGGAGGCACAGAAACACAGCCCGTACCATGCATTCAAACAGCCCAGCTGGGACAATTCCAGTCCAGCAGCAGCCCGACCCATACTGGCACCAGTGCATTAACCAGCAAGCACTGCCATTTACTGACAGAGCTGGGAGAAAGCAGATTTTGGTTTTCTAGCAAAATCCAGCACTCAGGAGGAGAAGGAGGAAGAGAACTGACAGCTTGATCACCGAACTAAAGGAAAAAATAGCAAACAGGAGCGCAAGAACCACCGTAGCTGACAAACCAGAAAGGAAGCCGTAGCACGAGCACTTCCTGCCATGCCATGGCCATTTGCTTTGCTATTTGTGCCATGGCAAAAGGCCATTCAAATACAGGAAAAACAAGGGCTATAAAAATTGTCTTAAACTGCTAAGTCTGAAAAAGAAGAATAAAGCATGCCACAAGAAAGCAAACATGCTGACATCCCAGCTGCTGCAGTCTACTGCCAGTAAGAGCACGAGAACAGCCGAAATGAAAACACAGCACAGATGCCAGAAGAGCAGTTACACTGATATACTTCCAGACACTCTCCCACTGGAGACTCCTCTTTTTCAACTGGCAAAACAGCCAGCTAAACAAATTCAGGGCTAGAAAACTGATACCCACGAGCACTAGCTGATCACATAAAAACCATAAAGGAATCCTAACTAAATGACCACAAGAATTATTCTGATAGATGCTGATGTAGAAATACATTTTCCAGGCTGATTACTTAAGAATCCTTCAGCCACCTCCTTCCACAACGTAACCTATAGAAAAGGACAAAAAGAAGAAAATCACACTTGTTCAAATAAGGTATGAGACAAAGCAACAAATATCAGTACTTATAGAGGCCAATGTCTTCATTAAAAACATAAAATGTCAAAAACAGTTTTACATCTACCTTTACTTGTGCAATAAAATATGAACACTACCTGAAATCTGCCTTAACCAAGGTACGTTTTAGAAAAAATCCACCCTGTGCCATGATGTTCTGACGAAGTATCACAACAGTACAAGATGAAAGTGACACAGTCATCTTGCTAAGGGGAATTAGCAACACACGAAGTAACAACTTGGTGTGACACTCAAACAGAGAAGTATTAATAATTGAAGCTAAACTGCAGACTTTTTAGCTGTTTTGCATCCATAAATGACTGCTAAGAGTCTTCTTTTTTCCTGAGGTTTTGCCATAATGTCTGTACTTCTATGGGTTACCCTAAACCACAGAGATTGCCTTTTTAAATACAGAGTATTTCCTTTAGTCATACTAGTCACACCTGTTTAAAAAAACAAAGATAACATCTTGGAAGATTATCAAGCACACACTCCCACTAACATCCAACACTGTGCTTATTCATCAGTATGAACCGGCTTTCATCACAAACAATGTACTAAAGACAAGGTTTCTTTACATAGTTTTAGCAGTCTTCACAAGGCTTAACCAAGTCACTCATGCAGCAGTTCCACTGTAAATTGCTTTGAAGATTTATTTCTTGTGAAGAGCAATCGGTTCAGGCATTGTAAAGCACTCAGAAGAAGTAACTTCCAGAGTACTCCCATACCCCAAGAATCATCTAACAGCATCCCTGAATTGCCTCTTGCTTTTTTCTTTTCTTTTAAAAAAAACAAACAAACAAAAAAACCTTTTGGAACACGAAGGACACTTCTGTTATTTTTGGGAGAAAAATAATCACAAGATAAATCTACTTCAGAGATTAGAATAAAAAAATTATAGCAGTTTTGTGTACTTATCCAGATCTGTCACCGGAAACCTTTTGAAGTAACAGGGATAACAGCGTTGTGAGATGACAACCGCAATCACAGTTAATCTGAGCAAATGCCATGATATTTCCAAACCATTGCTTGCATCTGAGCTGTTGCTGCTCTTTGAAATAAACATTAGAATATCACAATCCTAAACACGAATGAACATGCATGAACCGGAGGCCTCAGAAGCAGGGCACATCAACCACATAGGATTAGGCACAAGCCACGGTTCTCTGCACAGCCAGCCTACCTCATCACATCCAGATCCACAACACATCCAGTCCTGTTCTCCTCAAACCTCAGCAGCACTGGGTCACATCACTCTGCGATACCACAGCCTGAGAAGCTTGAGCTATCTTTTCTATTTGAGTAACAAATGATAACATCCCAATTTATAAAGTCCACTGCATTACTAAGCTTTAACCTGTACAAACCTATTCTCTAATACACCTCAGTGATACACGCATAGACAAGAAGAGTTGTTTGGAACAAGAGGCCACACCAAAAACTGACTACGTAAGTATTTCCATTGTGAGACCACAGCTAACATTCACACACAGATATCTAAGTGCTCCTAGGAAGAAGGCCTTTTCTAAATTCAGGGTGCAGAAATAACCTGCCAAGACAGCTCAATAGAACTGGGACCCCATACAGTGCTCTAAGGCAAACAACAGGCAAAAATCCTCCTGAAACAGTTTGGGGTATCTTTCCACCAGACTTTCCAATACTGTCAGGCAGTGTTTACAGCAGCCAAGTTTTTCAAGAAATCATTACTTATGCACAGACAACTTAGCAAACGCACTTCTTGAAGTTGTCAAAAATATTTTCGACACGCTTAATTTCAAAGACACAACTACTTTAGCGTATCACTAAACAAAGACACAATCATGGCCACATTTGAAACATCTACAGCCATTAAGGAAAAATAATTAAAAAAATAAAAGCCATACTCCAAGAGCATGCGTGTGCGTAAAAACAGTTTTTGCCTGAGTTTCTTGCTCTTGAAATGGCAAGCACTTACTTAGAGAACACTAAGTGAGCACAGACTGATGTTATCTTGATTTTCTAGCTATTGTTCCCACGATGCAAGCAGTGTTTTCCTAGAACACCGCTATGATCTGCATTACTTATCTCAGTAGGTAACCAAAATGGATTTTTAAGCAAACAGCTTTTGCTGAGCATAAAGCCAGGTACTTCAGGCCTAGGCTAAAGTGGACATCAGGATCAATCTTTTGCCTATTTTTACTAGGGAACATTCAGTAAGCGTGGGGAATAATTGAACAATTGCACCTCAGCAAAAGGTACTGCATCAGTGCTACATCTCTCACAAACCCGACAGTCACTGCAGACAGCTCTTCACAAATTTTTTTCCTCCCTCGATCAGCACAAGTTTATTTGTCCTGATGTATTTCTGACTCGTGATTGTGCAGTGTTGGCAGCGATGCTCTTCCACTCAGCACCCTCTCCCCTCCCTTTTGCACATCAGCTTAAATATGAAACCTGAAGAGGCAAAGCAGAGCTACTGTTTGCTAGGCTGCTACTGACTACTTGTATTGAAATGCTTCCTTCAGACTGCAAATGCCTTTTTATTTAACTACCAAGGCTTACAAGCTTCAGATGCACTTATTACCATAAGTCAGACAGCTTAACAAATGGAGAGGAGTTGTTTTTGGTAGGCATCTATTTATTGAAAAGGTATTGAGAATGGCTCCTGTGAGAGTGTCAAGTAGGAGAAGCAAGCTCCAGCTCTCTCAAGGGGACCCCGGTTGGACTTGCCACAATTCTCGCTCCCCATCATCACCTACAAAGAACATGGGAAGAGAAATAGATACTTCATCAGTGGAACTAAGAAGAACATCCCTAAATTAAAACTTTTGGTTGATAATTTGCTATCTGGGTAATAACTATTCCCCATGCTAGAACATCAGTTACCAATTTGTTAGGAGTAAATGACGCAGCTCACCATCGCGTCAATGGTGTTTTCTCAGCAAAGCAACAGGGCAAGGACCCAAATCCACACTGTGTTGCAAGAGCACTAGTCGGAGGAGTAAAGTACACACCCTGTTTTCTACAAATAGGTAATGCAGGATGAAATGAGCAAGTTTGCTTGTAAGGGATGGTCTGGTACAGCCTGAAGCATTCCTCTGTTATGGGCAGTCAGTCTCCTGTTACAAGGATTTAATGCACTGTCTGGACAACATATGAACTCCTAATTTCGTGGAACACCCCAGCAGAAAATACTGTAATTCAATAGCCCCCACATTTTTGCTAGGTCTGCCTACCACAGCAGTGGTTTTGCGAGAGGGACATTTCCCAACGTTTGAGCAGAGACCAGTAATTATATGGGCCGACCCACCATTAGCTGGTAGCAGCTTGCTACCAAATGAAATAAGGAAATTGTCTCTCTCCTCACTAAGGGCTTGTGAACCTACGTGTACTTGAGAGAACAGACTTTTCCATTTAAGTTAAAAGCAGGAAAAATAAAAGCCTAGCTGTATAAAAACCTTACTGCTTCAACTCACTAAAATATGTCCATACACACACGCTGACCGTCCTTAAACCAACAGGCCAGCTAAAGCAAATTTACTTTAGTAACCACAACTAATTTCAGCTGTGCTGATTATTTTCAGGGTGGTTAAACATTTGGAACTTCGTACAACAAGAAAACATTTTCTTCTCGTCAGGTCACGGCTCTTTGAGGATTGGTTCACAATAGCATTAGCTCAGTGCCAACTCTTTGTTGAATCTTTCCTTGGCTAAATTCTTTTTGTTTCAAGCAGCTCTGTTACAGCCCAGACAACCTATTGCATTTTGCTAATGCCTGAACTCAGCAGAATCTCGTTACTCTGTTTTCCTTAAAAAGAGTGCCCAAATTGTATAACAAATAACATTCTGAAGCTATAAAATCAATAGTTGTACTTGCAAAGTTTTCAGTAGGCTCTTTTTTCCCCATAAGAGAACATAGTTTTAAAGATGACAAATACAAATTATTGCCTTTGATGCACACTACATAGTAGTTTCTGTGGATATGTCAAATGCTCTAAAATTCAGCCTGCTTTTAATATCTCATTCCTTTTCCGTTTGAATTTTATAAACAGAGCTCAGAGGTACTATCTGCCTGGGTAGTCCCTTTATGTAGATGCTGTTCTGTCAGGTGGCGTAGGTATTTAACTAGAATATTTTAACTCACTTAAATGACAATAAAAGTACTCTGGGAAATTAACAAAGCCAGCATTTAGAAAGAAAGAATGGTGGGGAAAATAAACAGATTAGACAGATGAAAACGCAACTGGAAAAATAAAGCGTTGACAGCCTTCAAACATAGCCTGTGCAAATTGCTCTCATATGAACAAGTTACTAAATAGCTTTAGCATGCAAGCTGATGCACAAAAAAGACAACGCCCCCTGAAAAGCCTACCTTTAAGCCACAAAAGAAAATAGGCTATATTCCAACAGGGTAAATACGAGTTACTGTTTTTAAAAGGAGAACAGATACTGAATGTTAAACATTTTTGCTAATTAACAACTGCCACAGGACACAGTAGAAATTCCAGGACTACTTCATTCACAGCAATATTATCAGGCAAATGGACACTTACAGGATAACAGGTAAGCATCCGCGTGGTCTGCATCAGTAACATATAGATTTCATAAAATAGTCTGTTGTTCAAAACAAAAATGAAATAAAGTAAGCTGTTTAAAAACCTTTCACTTCCAGTTAGGCCTACGATATAAAGATTTCTATGAAAGAACATCATGGGCCCATAGGAAACATTAGAAAGTGAATCATTTCACGTTATCTAGAATACCTTGTGCTACGCCTCTGAATTCCCAACACAAAAGATGAACATTTTGATGTTGACATTTAACTTTTTTTTTTTTTTTAAATCTTCCCTCCTCAATTCCTCCCTTCTTCCTTTGAAAGCTTACACAAAACAGAAAAGCAGAAGATGAGCACAGTCATTTCACAACAAACACGATAACAGAATGTATGCAGATTTTAAAATTCATATAGCTTAAGATACCAGCGCTTTGAATTACATTATGGCAATAAAACAACTTGCTTAGTGTTTCCTTCTACAACGCCCACACTGATATACTGTTTCTGCACTAACCCAATATATGCAGGCAGTGACATTCAACCCCTTATTCCTGAAAAAAAAAAAAAAGATGCATGTGTCGCACTGCTTCCTGCAGATTCATTACAAGAATTCAAGTGCATTGCCAGCACATGGCATAGCCAACATACCAGCAATACATCGCTTCTCCACTAACTCCTAAAACATCACATTGATGACTTGCTACTAAATGTCCAGTCAATTGTAAAATACACTTGTATACCACCCAGCTGCACATCAATAGCTAAACTACTATCCGAGCAAATTATTTACGAAAAACTTGGGTGAACCAGATCATCTTGAACAAAAATACAAGTTCACATTCATCGTTTGCACTGACTCCTTTGACCAGCTTAAGTTCATCACCTGTGTTGCACAGGATCAACTGCATCCTAACACTTTGTTTTCAGACCAATTTAAACTTAAGGTCCTGTATATTAAGTTCATTACAAAATTTATGTAGTTACCTAAAATCCAAGCAAAAAAATCTTCCAGGCTGTCTACTGGTGCTGTTTTTAAACATTTTCTAGTCATGCAACAAGGGTTATTCTCTCATGACACTCAGTGCAGATACAAAGGCATCTCTTCTCTGTAGCAGAGCATGGTTGCGAGCAGGCTTTCTGGCAGACACCACCACACCTCAGATCCTATCTGTCATCTTGATAGAACAAGATCAGTTATACACAAGCACTTGGATAATACATAGCATACATAACTTCATAAAACAAAGAAGATTAAAAGAATAGATATGAAAAGCGGGAGGAAAATCAGCATTTCTAAGAAAAACACATGGAACTACCATGTTTTTTGGAAATATGGAAAGTTACATGGAATTATCATGCAATTTTGAAGACAAAGACTTAAGTTCTCCAGCATATTTAAACGTTTTATGTCTGTTTGGGTTTTGTGTTTTTTTGTTTTTGTTTTTTTCCTAGATTGGTCTACAAGCCAAATGATGGCTATTTCATTTTGATGTCCACCACTGACATATCTTTAATACTTTTACTTAATACATAACAATATCATGCCTTTTCTAAGCTAGGAAAAAAAACAAAACATACTTTTCAAGTTGTATTTTTGGAAGGAGCTGGAATACATTGACAGAATGACTGGCATTTATTTACAACACATCTCCAAATGAATGACTGACAAGACAAAAACAGGTAGGGTACATGGCACACTGTTTGCATACTACTTCATTTCCTAACCTACATCTCTCAAAGGACATCATTACAATTTACAAGAAGTCATTCTTGTTTCCTCAACCCCTTCTGTGCATCCAAACGGCCCTGCTTCACTTCTCTGTTTATGAAACAGAAATAGGTACCAGTGATGCAAGAGCAACAGCATCCAAACCAAAGCCAGAGTCATCAGTTTCTAAACTGATGGGTGTGTTGCGGGGACGATACAGCAGCCTCTGACTAAGAATTAATTTCTCACTACCCTGCCATATCAGAGAAATGCCGCATTGAATCATCTCAAATTGCAGGGGAGACGAGAGGAAGAGCCTCGTGCAACCACAGACCTAAGCACACAGCACAGAATTTGCAGGTGACTGCCTTTTCATCACACCTGAACTTACAGTTTATGAGAGAAATAATACACCAAGATGAGTCATTTTGCCAAGTGACATTTTATATTAAGAAAATACACACGTTTGTCAAACTTCAGACTCTTTACATTCCAGCAAGAGCTTTATTATCAAAGTGCCTGGACCTTTAATTTGTTTCTCATTGTCATAGAATTACATCAAAGAAAAATATCTGCTGGACAAGAAATTGTTCCCCGTTAAGCAGAGGAACGAGCTTTTCTATCTTGTACTTTGTAGGAAGTGAATGCCAAGTGTTAATTTCTCTTTTTCAATCTTTAGTATCTTCACTTGTCTAAAGATCAAGATATCTGAAATTGCATCCAATGGGGCGTTGCACAAGGCACTGAAGTTACCTTTCAAAATGATGTAATAAACTAAACTCTCAGTATTTAGCCACTGAAACTGTCAATGCCTGCCTTAGGCAAATGAGGACAACAGAATTGAGGTGGTTATTTTTAACTCCCTCCCAAAAAGCAGCTCTCCTGCCTCCACACACCTTGAGAGTCAAACAATTTACACTGCACGGTTTCACCCTCTGACAAAAACAGGCTGGTGTACCTAAAGTTAAAACACACTTCCTCCTTCTTCCCACTTCAACCTTCAAAAAGAAGCTCGTGTACACTAAGTCTGGAAGATATGTAGCTCTCTTGCTGTCCTTCTACTGTCATTATACATATATATGTCATGCTTAAGAGCCTCATTTAACACTAACAGAAATAGTTCAGAGGTTCAAAAAAAGAAGAAAAGAAAGAGGAAAAGAAAGCCTTTTGTATGCTGAAAGGAGTTATTCTAAAATGTTATCCTTGTAAAACTTTGAAGAGAGCAGCTGGCTTCTTTTCCTCCTCCTCTCCCCAAAATGCTTGAGTTACTTTTAGTCAATCCAGTACTCAAGGCATCATTTACCTTTGAATTTATTTCCATCTCAGCTAGCTTCATAGTACAGCCACTAACAAAAGCCTGCTCAAAAAAAAAAAAAAAGTAAAATATCACCAACACATTGCCCTCCCCAAGCCCAAAAACACACAAAGCCAGGAAACAGAAAAAAAAAAAAAAAAAAAATACCAACCTCACAAAACAGTACTGTATGCAGGGCAGTAACCAGTTCCACAGGAGAAGCCTGCCTCCTTGTGGCTCGACACACTGTAAATTAGTTTTTTTTACAATTCATTCCATTGCACCCAGAAAATCTGGCAAGGCAAGAGCTTAACAGGCTTCTAGTTCAAAGCATTCAGGGGCTGAGGGCGTTTTGTTTTGTTGGGGGGGAGGGGGATATGATGAAAAAGAAATGTTTCTAATTTTAAGAGGTACTGGCAACAGTTATCCATCTCCGATTACTGAATAACTGTTTTTACCCTCTTTCTCTAAATAGCACAGAGGGGAAGAGAGGAAGCACAGCACAGAGGGAAGGGGCAGCTTGAGGGGACGGTCAACTTGAAAAGGAAACGAAAACCACGTTCTTCACGTGGCAGCAAAAGCTTGTCAGTACTCTGGCACCTAAAACCAGAAGACTCCAAACCTTGGCTCAGCTGTGGCTTAGCCTAGCAGGCATCTCCTCTTGATGCCTCGGCTTTCAACAGTAAATCCCCTTTCAGCCTACAGGTCTCCTTCAGGGTAGCCTATGAGGAGTTCCCTCTTGGCAGCAGCGAGGTGTTTGGTGCTGTCAGTAAGATGCAGACATTCCTCTGTCCTGCCTGAAGGGCTCCATTCAACAGGCCTACTTCCTTAACGCTCACAAGAGTAAGTTCTTTAGAAGCCAGCTGGATTTCTCGCTTTGTTTTAAAACCCAGTCACTCAGTTGTGCAAGAGCTTAGCAGTTAGAGTACTCAAAAAAAAATCTGAAACTAGTTAAACAACTTGTTCAAAAGACCAATTCAAATTCACAGCACCCTTAGGAGGGGGTCATAGCATCAGGACGACCTTGGCTTGGAGGGCACACGTAGCTTTCTAACCATGTTGAAGAAGCTGCTCCATTTCGTGCAAGTCAGACACGGAGCATGAAGCACTTTTGCTATGGGCTAGGAAATTATCCACAAGCTTCGTTCCAGCCTCCACTCCAAAGGCTGTTTAATATAAAGCACATTAAGCGAACACAAAAGTAAGCCACATTTCTCTCAGTCTCGCAACTGTTGGGCTCGCAACTTGCTTTCTTCTGTGTCACAGCCTCTGTTTTAGGAACTGTTTCTCTAACCACTAAGCAAGTGAATCAGACTCACTCTTTCCAATCGACAGCCCAGTGATCTGGCTGGTACAAGGAGTGAACTGAATCCCTGGCTTTCACGGTTACAATCATCTTAATTGGAGATTCACCAGAGGAAAAAGAAAACAAAAAGCCACCTCTAAGTACATTCTGAATGAAAGGCTTAGGCTCTGCCCTTCTCTTCTTTTAAGAAGAGAAGAAGAAAGCCTGTCATACCCTAAATTCCAGAATCGGAAGAAGAGATTTCATTCTACTGCAGTTCTGTGCCCAGGTCTGGAAGCGTTGCTCCTTCACGTTAGTTTTTAGTCATTACTATTTACATATTTACTAATGAGACAGCTCCTACTTTGTGTGCTTTAGCTCCAGTTACGTGTGCTCAGCTCCCGCAGCCCCACGACCTGCCTAGCCAGAGCACCACACACACAGCTGCGGCTTCCACCACTGCTGCCAGAGGCCAAAAACTTAGGCTAGGCTGTCCTGCACGCTGCAGCATCCAAATAGCTCGAAAGGTTATAAATAGAGAACCAAAATAAGTAGGAGCTTACATTAACTCTGGCGCTCCTCTAATAGGAGAAAGGAAAAAAAAAATAAACCGCTCTTCTCTCTTATTCAGGTGCAATCCTGGAAAAGGGCAAATACCCTCACCTCTTCTAAAGGTAATGGGAATTGATGGCGTTCATCACAAGACTGGATGTCATACCGAGCAAGTCCAGTACGTCTGAAAAACACCCTAGGTCTGTATACGAAAAAAAATCACCCTCATGGAAAAACCATTCTGTTTCCATAACTAGATCTGTAATTAACATGCAAATTACTTATTCGCATAAATGAAGAACTATCCCCTTCTGGCTTCTGTAATTTTATAGACTGAACACGGCAGAGACTCCAATTTATAAAAAGTGATGTTCTTCTGTAAGCAACTCTGTTTTCATTATACTGAAATAGTGGGAAAGTAATAAGGACTACATGAAGTCATACCAACCAAGAAATTTACTACAGCAGGGTTTCTGTTCGTAAGTTTAAGGCGGTTTGTGTTTTTGCTTTATACCAGGGTCTGACACTAAGTTAATAAGCCTTTTATTGAGATTCAAAAGCTATTACATTACACACATCTTCCTCTACTTACAATTGCTAACCTACTCTGAGGCCCAGGATTAAATTTTACGCTTCGCTGACAGAAAATAGAATCCTAAATCAGCAATCCACACGTAATTGTTAATTTCCCCACTTGTTTCTTACGGTCACAGTACCTGTTTTCTTCCTTACCGTGGCCTTACTTCAAACTTCCACATTTTTAAACCTAGCACGGAGCTTCAGTTCAGGCTTATGAAGTAACTCATTTTCTTTAAATTTAATCTTTGCTAAACTTTCCCAGTTACCCACATCAGGAAGGTTTATTAAATTTCAAACAGAATGACGGCAAATAATCCCAAGGAAAGTATCACAGGATCACAGATCTCTTAAATCCGTAAGAAAAGTTGTACTAATAGCAGCAAGAAGCAGCAGCAGGTTCTAGGAGACAAAGTACCAGACTTGTAGCCAGAATAACTGGTTTCCTCTCTATTTTGTTCTCACCTGGTCTTGTAGGTGACCTTGTGCAAATCACTATCCCCACAGCACAGTTTTCCCATCAGAAAAAGCGAATTGAACTCATTTGCAAAGCTGACTGGAAGCTCCCAGGGAAACACACTAGGAGTTAAACATATATTCCCCTATCTGCAGATGTATTTGCCTTAGATAGCATTCCTTTATCCCATTATGCATCACCAGCAGCACAAGATTGCTTTTACTTTCTAAACACACTCGCGTTGTTCTTCAAGAAAGGCTTTAGGCTACTGCCTTACTTCTCATCACGCGCTTGATCCATCTCCACCGCTGCTGTGTCTACTCTGATGGAGCATGTTTAACGCTTACGTTAATAAATTGTGTCAGAAGTTGCTGCTGAGAACGAAAGGGGGAAAACCAGAGCAGCGAGCCAGTTATGAATGAACAGAGACTCCTTCTGCAGACCCTTGCGGGAGTGACTTTGTCCATAATGGTGCAAACATTTCCTCCCATGACTGGCTGCGGGAACCGGTCCTCACCAAAACCCAGCGGGCTTTCACCTGGAATATGAAGTAACTGTGCAAAGCCCTGGTGTGCTACACGCCAGCGGAGCGGAGAAAGGCCGCGTTGGCTACCAGGGGCACGGCGCTCCTCAGCCCGGGTGCACTTTGCCCACTGCCCTGTGCCATGGCGGGGCTCAGCCGGGCGACTCTGAAGATGCAATTTAGCAGCGAGAGGCTTCGCTGCTGCTCCTAGCACACCACAGACGGCGGAACGAGCCTGGTCCGGGGGGGCAGCACACACACACACACACACACACACACACACACACCCCAATTACTCCCCGGCAGCAGCAGGCTGGCGGGCAGGGGCAGGAAGCAGCGGGTGCGCGTCCAGCCCCCGGGGCTGTGTACTCAGAGCTCTTCCCGCACGGCCGGGGCGTCACTGACCGAAACACGAGGGGGGAGGGAAAAATAAATAAAAAAAAAAAAGGAGGAAAGAGGAAAAAATGGGGGGGGGGGGGTGGGGGACACGGCACGACCCAGCCCTGCCGCGCACCGGCGTAACGAGGGCATGAAGCGTTAAAAAAGGCAATAATTAAAAAAAAATAAGGGCAGGAGGGTGCGAGGAGGGGCAGGGGGCACGCTACCGACTGCCGCTCACCTTCCTGCCGCCGCCGGCCAGCGCGGCGCTGCCGCCCGAGTACATGTAGTAGGCGATGCCCAGCACCCAGAGGAAGGCGAAGCACAGCAGCAGCCGGGACCTGCGCCGCATCCTCCTCCTCTTCTTCCTCTTCCTTCTCCTCCCCGCCCCGGGCCACCAGGAACCGGGCAGCAGCCGCCCGCCGCTCCCGCCGCCCGCCGCCGCCGCGCAGGGTCAGGGGGCAGAGGGCGAGCGCCCGCCCCCCGGCCAATCCCGCGCCGCCCGGCCCCGCGGGGGGCGGCACGGGGCGGGGAGAGGCGGGGCGGGGCGGGGGGAGCGGCGTCGCCATGGTTGCAGCACGCCGGGAAGCCGCCGCCGCCTCGCCCCCCTCTCCCCTCCTCTCCCCTCAGTGTGGGGGTCTCCGGGGTGTTGCCTGGTGGGGCTGCGCTGCTGATGTGGGGTCGCCTGGGTGGTCGTGTCAAAAAGCAGGGCGCAAAAGTCAAAAGGGAAGAGGGTGATGGTTAAAAAGCACCACACGATTAGCACCACGTCATTAACCCTAATGGTTAAGGAACATCACAACTGTATCTGCGGTACCCACTCAAAGCAGAACATCACAGAATCACAGAATTTCTAGGTTGGAAGAGACCTCAAGATCATCGAGTCCCACCTCTGACCTAACACGAACAGTCCCCACTAAACCATATCCCTAAGCTCTACATCTAAACGTCTTTTGAAGACTTCCAGGGATGGTGACTCCACCACTTCCCTGGGCAGCCCATTCCAATGTCTAACAACCCTTTCAGTAAAGAAGTTCTTCCTAACATCTAACCTAAAACTCCCCTGGTGCAACTTTAGCCCATTCTCCCTCGTCCTGTCACCAGGCACATGGGAGAACAGGCCAACCCCCACCTCGCTACAGCCTCCTTTAAGGAACCTGTAGAGAGCAATAAGGTCACTCCTGAGCCTCCTCTTCTCCAGGCTGAACAAGCCCAGCTCCCTCAGCCGCTCCTCGTAGGACTTGTTCTCCAGACCCCTCACCAGCTTCGTCACCCTTCTTTGGACCCGCTCAAGCACCTCGCTGTCCTTCTTGTAGCGAGGGGCCCAAAACTGAACACAGTACTCAAGGTGCGGCCTCACCAGAGCCGAGTACAGGGGGGTACGCCTGAGTTTAAAGCTGTTCTCCACCATCTCACCGTGTTTTCCCAACAAGCTGTTTGATCGCTGCCCGTTTTGACCAAACCCCACCTTTCTGTGCCCCATCTGTCCATGCCAATGCCAGGCCTCCCCCAGTCCATCTGCACCGATGGCTTCTCTACAGATCTGGACTCCAGACCATGCCAGGGTGGTGTCAGCATGGGCCTGGTGCTGGACCCGGTGGCAATTCCGCTGTGTTAGCAGGAAAAAGATCCAGCAGCCCAAAGAAATGGCATCAGGAGCTCACCTGCTCACCAGCATGGTTGCTCTGCTGACAATCCCCCCAGGGAGGTGAGCTGTGAGAGGGCTGGCACGGTCTGGGCAGATGTTGTCTGGTATGCAAGGATTTCGGTGAATAACCACATGCCTTCCTACCTGCCATGGCCCCTGACAGAAAGAAGAGATGGACAAAAAGGCAAACAAAGAAATCCGAGAGAAGTACTCCTTCAGGAAGTGCAAAAATAGAGAGATCTTTCTTCAGCACAAATGACTCTTCCAATAAACTCATCTTTGTGATTCTTGGTTCTGGAGGGAGCTGGAGAGAGACACCCAATTTGTGCAAAACACAAGTTTTGGAATCAAACCACTGGCATCTATTGAAGTGAGGTACACTGGAGAGTAAGGGCTGCCAGGAGACACGCAGATGTTCTGGATGAGATTTTTTGATTCATCCAAAGCATGTTTGATGCAAGGGAGCAACAGTAACAGCAAAAGCCTTTGTCTAAAAAGGCACACACACACCACCCCAAAGGCTAAATTTTCATTAGCAACATTTTCTATGTAATTTGGAGCAGGCTCAGCAGCCCAAGACTGTCAACAAGCTGATAAACTCCAGCTTGTTAAGCTCTGCCATCAGCTTTTAGAAGCGGCTTCCTGCTGCTGGGGGACTCCTTCATCAGGCAGATCTGCTGGGGGAGAGGGTGCCCTTCCTCCCATGGCTCCACACAGAAAACATCACACACCCAGCTGTGTAAAGTGCTCATTCTGGAGCCATAATCCCATTTAACCTTACAAATTCTGCAGGCCACTTACTCTTTAAATGCCTCGCAAAGCCTACAGAATCTTTTCTTGCCCTTTACACAGCCTAAAAGATCTTGAAACGGCCTTCAAAGGTCTTCCTGAAGCCTCAGGTATTTTCACTGATTTTAGCAATGTGCTTAGATAGATTTTTCCCTTTCCAGCAAAATTAACCAGCCATGCATGTACAGAAAATCCTTCTGTAGCTGCACACTTCACAAGCTTACCGAAATAATCCACTGCACATGCTCAATCACAGTTTTCAAAGGTCTATAACTCAGCCAAATCAAAACTAATTTCCTCTTGAACAAGCAAAGGCACATCTACTTTAAAGGAAGGCTACTTCCGTGTCAGAGTTCACTTGTCAGCCGTCTGCTGATAAAGTTGCAGAAATGCTCAAGAAAGGCCGTAAGGATCTATTTAGCTGAAAGAACACTTTTTAATTGTTGTTGTCTTTGACTCTTCTGATATTCTGAACTGGCTGAACCAGTTTCGTTCAGATCCTTCCAAAATATTCACATTTGGACAAAGTCCAAAGCCAGAAGATTTCATCCTGAAGTATTTTTATTTCAGAGACCACAGGAAGCACAGAAGTTTAGAATGGAAAATGTTATATAGCTTTAACTCTAGGAAAAGCTGCCTGTTCTGTTACGCCACATTCGCATGCACATACTTCTTTGCCTCAAAAGTCTTAACATGTTTAGTCAGCAAAGCAAAACTGAAAAAAAAAAAAATCAACCCAACCATTTCAATTAAAGCAAGGAAGTCAAGAAAAAAAAAAAAGACATTTTTTTAAAATGTTTTTTTTTCCAGTGCATTTCAGAAGAAAATATTAGCATATTTTAAGAGCAGCATTGCTAGAATGAATCACAGATTATAAATGTTTCTGTATCAACCACAGCACTTTAAACAAAAGAGAGATCAATCATGTGAGAGTGCAAATAGGGGTGACATTTGCAGAAGGAATCATCAAAACTTTTCCTTTGATCTGTAATGCGGACACCTAGATTCAATAGGCTAAATTCTGATCCAGTTAGGCTAGGCTGCAAACCAGAGGTTAGCTCGCTGTATTCGTTTGAGAGCAGGCATAAAAACAGGTACAGCCCAGATCAGAGTCTAGTTCAGGGTGTCAGTGTTCATTTTCTTGTAAGTAAAGAGCACAAAAATTGCTCATCCTTTTCTGGAATTAAAGGACCTACTCAGAGGTAAATGAATCCTCCAGCAGTGGGAACGGAAAGTAGTCCTCACCTTTAGGAATAAGTGAGTCAGTTCCTTACTCATGCAAGCAATCTTGCACTTGGAAAGACAGGAATGAGGATTTTCAGATCAGGACTAAAACTCAGAAAATAGGTTTGAAAGACTTTAAAAGGCCCCAATTCCAATCATGCTGTCTGGAACCTCTTTGATATACAGAAGCTGATGTGTTACTGATCCATTGCAGATTATAGTTTTTCAAAACCATGCGGTTATGTCAGAAAGTATATCACTCCTCTCTCAAGAAACTCATTAGCAAGATGTGTTATGACACAGGAACCACACATTAGCATGAAATTTAAAATACATCTGCAGGGATATAGGTTTATTAGTACATTGAGAGCTTGGGCTGAATACCCAGCCTGAGCTGCGCTTGTGTTTGTATTGAAAGAATTGCGTTTGTAGCGAAAGATCCTGATCCTGCAAACATTTATGCAAATGTTTAACTTCATTCAGTGCATATTCCCATCGGAGTCAGTCGGACTACTCAGATGTTTAAAATTATATGCTCATGGCTGAGTACTTGCAGGATTAAAGGTTAAGTGCAGCTAGCAGGTCTGAAAATCTATGTGGGTGTTTTGCAATTCCTCACTGCACAGTGGTAACAATGAGAAACAGCCTACCTCCTCAGCTAAAGACTTGGGAGTCAACATGTCCTTTCCCATCTGTTTAGATGCCAAGAACTATGTTTGTTTAATTTTTCAGCACAGTTTCTGATGCTACCCAGAGTAGGCAGACGTGCTGGCAATAGCATTCTAGAGTGGCTCACTTCCAGAAAATCTTTCAACCCTCCAAGAGTGTTATTTGAGCTGTTAAAACCCCAAGTAGCAAATACTGTATCATGCGCATTTTACCTTGAAAAGTGTGTGTCATCCTGCCTGACCACGGAGCGTGCCGTGCAAGGTCTGAATGCGTTCGGGCCTGTTAGAGCTAAAGTTACCTCATCCCAGACTTCGATATTGATAAGGCAGCATCTTTGGTTTTAAAGCACGAAGCAAGGACTCTTTCCCCTGGTAGCAGGGTTTTTTTTTTTATGCTGTTTCCCCACCAGAGATCAATCGACGCATTATGTCACGCAATGCAGATACAGCAAATGCCGTATTTTCTTTCACAGGCTTCCAGGATCAGCTTAAGCCCATGTGCTCCCAAGGCAAACGATCCAAATCTGGAAGTCCTTCCTCCCTATTAAAGTTGAAGGTTCAACATTCCTTGCAGTTTTTTGGTTTTATGAACAGAGGAAACGGATCCTTTTCCTAGGGTGGTGAAGACAAAGAAAGAACAACTCAGCCTTTGGTCGGCCTCCTGCTAAAGATGGCAGCAGCCAGCACAAACTACTGTCCCACTGCCAGCGATTCTTCCTGAGCTGAGTCACTTAGCGGGTTGCACTGAACTTCAGCAGCACAAAACAAACCTCTTGTGGCATTCTGGAGGCTGATGATCAGATTTCAAAATGTGATATGGCTCAGAAGCATCTCTCACAGGGGGGTGATGATAGATGGAAGAGAGAATCAGCTGTGGAGAGAGCCTTGCTGAAACAATGACCTCACCTTTGATTGAGGTAATTTGATCCCTGTTCGCTGCATTTATCTGAATTCTTAAGGTCATGCCGGATTCCTCACTGCTGCCAGGAGTGGTAAAGACTGATGATCTATGGTCTGAGACAGGGCAGGAAATTCCATCCTCTCCTCTCCAGCACGACTGCATCGTGGTGGTGTGCAGCCATAGCAATGTAAGGCATTTGAGTCTAGGGGTAAATACTGAGTGCTAATGCATAGTACAGCAGCCTATTTTTGAGCGACAAAGATGAATATGAACACATCACACAATGGCTCTGTAATCTCAGTTGGTGCTTTATCTGTTCAAACTCATAATCCAGATCAGTAAGGCTACAGTCAAGTAATGTGAGGCTATCTATCTGTGATATAACAAAGCACAGAAACTGATGCTAAATTAGCCTACAGTAAGATTCCTGGAGACGAAGAATGAGATTTCCCCCAGTCAAAGTGTTCTGCCAGAAGCGGTTTTTGCTTATCTCTCTAAATAAAGTCTTTCCTAGCTATTGGAACCATCATCAGCTAAGCACAGGAAATGTGAGGGAATGAGGGAAAAAAGAAAGATAAAATGGAAAGAGGAATGATAGAATTGTGTTAGGAAGGGAGCTGAGTGTACAAGGAAGCCATATAGAGCTTTTTCTTCCAAAGTCACCGGGCCATATTCAGACTATCTGTGTGCAGCACCTGAAGTGAGAAGAACGGTAAGTGATTCAGATGGCCAGGTCCCCAGGATGTCAGACCCTGGCTTCTTGTACAGACGGCTGGGAGAAAGTGATGCTTAACAAGTACTTAACCTAGGTATTGTAAATGCTTCTCTTCTGTGACTGTACGTGATCCAGCAGGGCAGCCAGAGAAGACCTTTCCTTGCTATACAATACTTCAGTTTCAGCTGGAAAGTGGAAAACATCTCCTTACTTCTTCCCCACTTCCCTTGCAGTAGGTGTTAAAGAAAGTGCTTTCAGCCTAAGCCACTGAAAGCAGGTCTCCCATTTCCCGGAGAAGCATCCTAAATCACTGACAGTGAGTTACTTCCAGAGGTGCCGTAGCAGACAAGCTGAATACAGCTCAGATGGTTTTGATTCACTTTATATATATATATATATATATATATATATATTCTTCACATTCTTCTGTGTTCACAGTGCTGGCTCCCACTCAGATGCACACAGTGCAGCCCATGCCTCAAAACCAGCGTGCTGCCTGTAGCAAGCTACCCCTGCTACCCATCCTGGTGCACAGTCCAGCCTGATGTCAGCAGTGGTGCTTACCTCCAGAGTCTCCTCCAAGCCTGGTGAAGGACTCCACTGCACACACTCCTGCCCTACCACCATGCCTGCTTTTTGCATTACAACCATGGCTAAACAAAGAACCCCCAGTGATGCATTTTTATCAACACTATAGGTTGTACTCCCAGATATTGCTCAAGAATATTTTACATTGTGGAATTAAAAGTAGTATTTTCACACAGCACACATTATCACTAAACAGATTACTTTATCATGTTCTTTTGCAAATTTGCCAATTTGTAAACTGTTGTTTGGATCCCACAGTCATTATAACAAATTACACAGGTCTTCTGTATCACACTCATGAGCATATTTCATGTAAGGAAGAAAAGAGATGCTCACAGCTATTTCGGTTCACATACCCTCTAGAAGTTGTATATTGATTTCTCCCAAATATAATTTTTCAGTACGTTGGAACAGACAGTAAATAGGCTCACTCACCACAGGGGAAGGAAATTGACCCCCTTGTAGCCTTTATGACCCTTTTGGCTTCAAACCTTTATCATCATCTGTTGAAATCACGAAATACATTGTTTCTGAAAAGAGGGCCAAAACCAACAAATCAGGAGAAATTACTTTTACAGCATTCCACTTCCAGCAGAGGTAGCCAGATCCACCCTCTGTGTAACACTCCTGAACCATAATGAACTTGGCCCCAGTGCCTATCACACGAAATAATTTAAAAGAGAAACTGCGATCGCACCAGAGAGACCATGTATTTTCCATGCCCTTTGTTCTTTCAAGAGTTTCAGGTAGAGTAGCAAGTGTTTTCCTCCAAGAAGGCAAACAGCAAACAGAAGACCTTTCTGTCATGTTTCTGTAAGCTGAAGGCGTGCAGGTTTGTGAACTGAGGTGAAGATCTTTTTTCCTTTCTCATTCTACTGCAGTATCCTCCACTGATGTCTCAGGCTTTCCGAACTATTGCTGAGCTGAGAGACACATGCACCACATGGAGAGGTGGCCATATAATGATTTTAGTTTCACTTGCAAACTTCCAGTGCATGCAGGTGTAAATGAGGCCTTCACTACCAAAATAATATTTTTGGCATCAGAAAATCCCCAGCAAGGTCATTCCTTCTTCAAGTCTGAGAGAAAGAGACTTTGATTGCCATCTCACGTGCACTGGTGTAAACTGGGAGTAACTCTGCAGAAGGCCACGTCTCTGCGACAGGGAGAAACTGGTGGAAGTGGAAAAACAGAACCAGCTTTCCCGGGGAGAGGGAGAAGAGGAGGGGAGAATGAGAAGAGAGGGCATGCCTTCTGCTTGGGTACACACAGGCATATCCTGATTGTGGTGGGACAGCCCAGCACAAGGGACGCGTCTTCCCACTGCACCAACAGAAGCACTACTTCTAACCAGCAGAGCCTCTGCCAAGCCCGGCATTTCCGCACCTAAAGCCTGATCTCTCTGAGTCATCTGCCCTTTCGGGCTCACGCCTGCTCCATGCCCTGGAGCAGTTCAGACCCAGAGCTCCTGCTGACGAGAGGACAGAGCGGTGCGAAGCTGCGCACGCCGCACCTGAAGGCAAGGATCCCGTCAGGAAGGGGCTCATGTCACAGCACGCTAGCCAGGCACACACCTACACACCGCGGGGAAACCCTGAACTCAAGAAATAACTCCCTTGGCTCCTGCCCTTCCCCAGGGCTCTGTGAAGCCACTGTTAGAGGATCTCAGCCAGCACAAAAGCAGCATCCTCCGTGCTTGGGTGTCATGGTTTTCCTGCTCTCCGATGAGATCTTGGCAGGGGCTGGATGCAATGGGAAGCCTCACCTGCTGCAGAACCACTGTCAGCTTTATCTCCCGCTTCCTTGTTTCTATTTCAGCTTATTAACTTCGCAAATTTCATCTTTCTTCCTGGCAAGCAGAGTCCTTTTTAAAGTCAACGAAGGGCAGTGCGTTTTCTTGCTGCAATTAATCACATGCTTTCTGGCATGTGACTAAATAACAATAATTAACCCAGCAGCTGGAGTTTTCCTGGGCTGGATCATGATGCTCTGTGCTGGCTCTCCATAGTGTTTGCTTGCTCTTAGTTTGTCTACACTCCTTTCTTGGCCAGCCTACCTTCAGGCATACCATGTGCTTGAGTAACAATAATAAACAGGAAAAAATGAGGCAGTTCTTACAATTATTATTTTAGTTAGATTTTCTGCTCCAAAAGCCAAGAAAACATCAGCAGGCCCAATACACCCATGAGAGCTGGTTTTTAACGATACTCACTAAAACATTGAGTTGTTGTATAGCTGTATCAAAGAATTTGATGGGACACCAAATACATTCAGGATCCCACTGGTACTTCAGCTGCTGGATTTGATCAGCCACAAGCTCGTATCATTGCTCATGAAGGGAGAGAGAGGAAAGATGGGGAGTTTCCATCTGAAAGACACGAACAGATTCAGATCTCACATACTTAGCAGGGTCAGTCAGTCTTTCAGTTCTTAAAAATTGCACAGCTCTGCTGCACAGAAAAAATAAAAAGCTCAAAATGGAGTGCCAGGATATCAGTACAGAGTCCTGATAGGGCTCTGTACTGTGTTGGTGACAGAGCCCTGGCACAGGCTGCCCAGAGAGGCTGTGGGGTCTCCTCCTTTGAGATCTTCAGGAGCTGCCTGGACATGGCCCTGGGCAGCCTGCCCTGGGTGTCCCTGCTGGAGCAGGGGTTGGACCAGGCGAGCTCCAGAGGTCCCTGCCAGCCTCAACTCTTCTGAGATCCTGTGATTTTATGACTCCTGCAGCCCACTGCCATGGCCTAGGAAACAGGGTCCTGGTGGGAACTTGAGGTAATAGCTGATACACATCTGAGAGGAGTCAGGTGTGCTTCTGACAGCCAAAGAAATGAAAAACCAAAGGGCTCGCATCTACACACACACTAAATTCACCAAAACCAACCAAGCAACCAACCAATAACCACCCCCTCCCCCCCCCCCAAAAAAAAAATAACAACCAAAACAAAACCAGATGCAATTGAAATTTACTGTGTTTTCACCTCATCATTCCCTTTGGCTCTCCAGGCATGAAAACAACCCCACATAGGAAAAACAGCATCAGGTAAAGGCAGGATGAGCACCTTCTGGAAGCAAAAAGATTTGTTTTGTCAACTGATTACACAGATGGGAAAATCATCTGAGCAGTGGCAAAGTTGACGACGGTTTGGGCAACATCCCAAAGGCTAGTGAAAGTATTCTCTTCATTCAGTGCTTCTTGACATTTCCCCAGAGAGCAAGTTCACAAACTGTGCATTTTTGAGTTCAGACAACATCTCCTAGACTTGTCAAAAGTACAGATGCCACGATTGCCAACCCAGGGCTGTAAGACTTACAGAAGTATTGCTTTTTTGTTGCCTTTTTTTTTTTTTTTTTTTTTTTTTTTAAGAGATGGCTCTTGTAACATCTTGACTTCTGAGCGAGATGAATTCTGTCACTGTGCCAATTCTTTGCACTAGGCAATGGAGGGCAAAGATAAGGTTTCAGATGTGTCCCACTTATACGTCAAAATACTGCAACACTGACAAGTATTTTAGTGCTGTATATTCCCTGAATACTAAACTTCTCTCTAGTACTATCTTGTGCTGTACAATATGGCTCCTTTCATACTTCTGTTTACCAGCATCCATTTGCATTTGCAGTTAGGCTGGTAGGGGAAGAAAGCCCCTCACAAAAATTATGATTACGTTTTTCCAATCTTTACTCCTCTATGTAGCACGTGTGAACTATCCACGCAAGTAGGGATTAGAAGTCATAGAGCTAAGATATACTTACACCTTTTTCACCCCAAAGTGTTCTTTATCAAAGCTTAACTCACTATTTATCTTTGCAGGGTTTAAAAACGAATGTTTTATTACCTGGTTTGGTACCTTCTTGCCATCCTCAGAGATGATGGAGTGGAGAGTGCACTTATAAAATTTGCGGATGACACCAAGGTGGGAGTGGATGTAAGTACCTCTGAAGATGGGATCAGAATTCAAAATGATCTCAAGACATTAGAGAAATATTCCCAAACTAGCAAGACAGAATTTAGTAACAACGTGTACAAAGCACTCCATGAAAAAAAAAAAAAGATGAAAGATCAAACGTACAAATATAAAATGCAGAATCACAGACAAGGTGGAAGGACTGCAAAAAAAAAATGTGAGAGCTACAGCAGGACTCAAAGCAAATACAAGCAAAGCAGGTAAATCTCCTGAAAGGCAAATATCATATGGAGATGTATTATTACATGAGTACCATATGCAACAGGGATTTATTCGGCTCTGCAAGGCACCGGTCTTCACCCAGCTGGAGAACTGGATCTAGTTCTGGGTGACTTTAAAAAGGAGCAACAAGAATATAAGAGATTTAGGGAACGTAACCTATCAGAAACAGCTCGGGTTGGTCCCTCTAGAAGCTCCGAAGGGAGATTTGATAATAGTTCACCAGCAGGTGAAAGATTGTCCAAGAAAGGACAAGGACCAGTTATTCCCTTTGAACACTTCTCAAGAAAGAATTAACTAGACCCTGCATAATGGCAGATTTAAGTTAGATATTGGCCAAAAATCCAAGGCTGGCTTCTAATCCTTAGGGGGACTGGGAGCTCTCTGCTACTGGAGGATTTTAGGAGGAGATCTGGCAGTGCTACAGGTATATTTGATCCCACTTGGAGCAGGGACATAGGCTCAGTGGTTTCATCCAGCGTCTCAACTTTCTTAATCTTATCTTATCCATCCAACTCCTTTTTATTTTCAGCTGCACACAACTGAAGCTTAGCTGCAGGTGCTTTTCTGTCTCTTCAACACTTCGGCAGTTATGAATTCAGGATCACGCTCTTGTGGACAAGATGGGAGCGCTCTCATCATCTAACTCTGCTCCCTGTTTTCATACGTAGGTGAGTGTTGTGAGGGGGTTGCTTTTCCCCTTCTTTCCCCAGCACGCTGCACATACTCACAGCTATGTGGCATGGGTACAGCTGAGTGCCCATGAAGACCCTCTGGCTCCAATCCCTACCTGCTGAAGACAGAGCCCGAGCAGCTGGGATGCTGCAGCCCCCAGCCTGGCCCATGGGCTGCTGTGCAGGTACTGTGTGAGCCCTCAGCTGCTGTGAGACCTGAAACCCTGCCTGCCAGACCCAAGAAGTGAGGATTTCACAGGATTATTCTACTTCATCCCCTGTAAGCTGCTGGGCAAGGAGTTTTGTAAAACAGATATCTCTGCCAGAGCCTGAAAACCCAGCACCCCCTCAAACAAATTCTCCCTCTCCCACTGTACTACAGATCTGTAACAGATTACAGTTACCTGGAGGAAAGGACCAGGCTTGTTCCTCCCTGCAGCACAAGAACATGGGAGAGCCTGTGCAGCGAGGAAATGAAGATGCCACCATCCCCTCACCTGCTCCCTGTCTTAGTGGCAGGGAGTAGCTTGAGCGATGGTTTTCTGGGTCTCTGCTGTGTGCCGCAGACTGTGGTGCAGTATCACCGCGTGCGAGATAACTTTAAATTATGAGAAACAGTTTAGCTGCAGGAGGAAGGAGCACCATGCAGGCTGATTTGCCCTGTTTCACAGTGGCTCTTACAAATGATTTTGTTCGCGGCCCCCAGAACCCCAGCAATGCAATTAGCACAGAGCATAAAACTGGATGGCAACCTCAGGAGTGCGAGCGGTGCGAGTAAAGAGACTGAAGATCTTCCTTGCATCTCCTGCAGTGCGTTTGTTATGGTTGGAGAATATCCTCCCCAGGCCATGACAGACAGCCAAACCTGTGTGAAGAGGTAGTAAAGAGAAATGTAGAAGTTTTCCCACAGTAATTCTTTTTCCTGGGCAAATAAATAAATGCAATTGTCTGCATTTTCAGAAAGCTTTTTTAGTTCAAAAAAAGGCTTTAAGTCAGAAAAACAGAAGGAGCCTGGTGGAACTCTAACTTGCTCATTACAAGCTGTTGGGCTTCAGAGACATCAGAGAGCAGTAGCAGGAGAAGTCACTGCACAGTACACACAGGCGAGCCTTAAGCCACCAGGGAAAAGCACAAGAAAACCTCTGGAGAGGGAGATTCACACCTGCACTCCTGTGCAGACCATTCAGCCACCCCCAGACCTGCCCAGTCTCCGGCCTCTCAGCACGCTGCAGAGAGCAAAAAATCAAAATTTCTTTCCACAGCATCTTGGCATCAGCCTCCCTACAGGAACATGAATTTGTCTCTTCTGTTGCACTTTCTCAGCCATCCAATCCTCCACCTGCCCCACCTTCTTGCTCCCTCCTCTCAAGCAGCCCGTTGCTCTGCAGAGCACCCCCCTGGGTTCATTGGCTTACCCAGACAGCAAGGTGTTGTGGATAACAACAACAAAGTCTGGCTCTCCATGCTTTTTACTTCCATTCACAGTTGATTTTTCCCATCCTATAAATTCAACATGCCGTTATTAACATTTTTAACCTCCTTTAATATCTTCCTTTTTATCCTTCTTTTCACAGCTCATCATTTTTCTAGTTTCTTTCTTCCCATTCCCCAAATTCCCTCCCAGCTTCCCCTAAGAAAAATGAACTCTCAGTAAAATCCTTTTTTTTTTTTTTTTTAAACCAGTCTCTTCCCCATTCCTTCTCTTCCAGCTCCATTCTCTAATTCTATCCTTTCTTCTGCTTTTCTTACTGCACCCGGGGATGCGTTTCCTCAGCTCTTTGCTGATCTATTTGCTTATACATTAACTGCTTTTGGCTGACGTCCTCACAGAAGCCGTCACGTTTCCTATCGGTTCCCAGATTTGACTCATGCCCCTGGAGCTGGGACGAGTCCAGCTGCAGCTGATGTGCCACCTAGGCTTAAGCCAGCTCAGTTTGAACAGCAGCAGGACTACAGCCATGCAGGGTGTAATACGGACTGCGAGGGCTGCTCAATACCCTGCAGAGCCCACGTAGAAATAATCTTCCCCCAGGAAGACTGGGACCCTTCACAGCCCCTTGGTGAGCAATGTTTAGGGGTGTGAGAAGGAAGAGGGTAATGAAGGGTAACTTGTTTTGGCGCACAGCTCTCATTACCAAAAGCCCTGATCATGTGCTATTCATGTCCATGAGAAGTTTGTTTTTGTGTTCAAAGGAATAAGAGAAGCCTTGTGGCGTTGGCTTCTGATAAGATACAGCACGCAAGAAGGGGGATGAAAAATGAGAGAAAATAAAAGGGAAAGCAGGTCGGTGTGGTTTAGGAATGAGGTTCTGGAGTTCCCACTGGTGCTGATTTAAGTCCCAGTTTCTCAGCAAGGCCAGATCCCCTAAGGTGCTTGAATGTAGAGCTAGCAAATGAAACAAAGAAGAGGTTGGTACTTAATACACCCGTGTGAAACCCTTTGATGGTAAGCCCTGAAGATAAGGGAGGGAAACTCAGACTCACCAGAGCACAACACGCCAGTTTAACTTGGCTGAGAGTCAGGCACTGTATGCTTTTCCTTCGCAGTGTAAAAAACTGAGTGCATTGGCAATGCTCAATAAATAAATAACGATAACAAAATTTGAAGCATAACCAAAAAGATACAAGGAAATGACTTGCGTATGGGATTCCCATAGATACAGGTCATTGCCTTCAGTACAGCGAAATACACTGCCCTCGTAAGCTTATAGCAAGGCAACTATCACTTTTAACCAAATATTCCAGAGCAATAAAAACAACAACCTGTGACCGTGATAGGTCAAATAGCGTATAAGTTATCAGGCAGATTATAGTGCAGGTCCATGAAGCAAACTGGTGGTGTTCTGGGGATAATGAGCGAAGCATTAAAGATATCTGAATTCTTCCCTTAACATACAGTCCAACCTTTGCATCATGATGACCTGGCAGACTTGCCTACAGTGTACCACTTGTTATTTGTGAGAGAGGACTGGGGGAAAATAAAGAGGCTGGATGAGTGCAAAAGGCACAAAAGCCTTGATGGAACAACATCAGTCTCAGAAATTGTCCTTTCTTCTCCTGCTGTTCAGAAATGCTGCAGTGAAGCAAGGGATTTCTAGTCACAGGGTACTGACAAGGGAGGTTTTTCTGTGGATTGGTACTTTTCTTTTGAACATGAGCGTAAGGCACAAAAGAAAAAGCTGCAGTAATAAAGCGCTGTTCAATGGGTGATAGATAAATGACTCGGGGCTATGGATGAGCAGGTGAACGCCAGCTGTTTCACTCTGGTATTAAGTGCATCTCACATCGCAAATCAGTACCTTGGACTGGGAGCTACTCGCCGTCGATACACATCTCGGCTGTTTGAACTCAGACACTGCAGGCAGGCGCTCAGGGCCACTGCACTCTCTGATGCCAGCAGAAGCATTGCTGTGTTGGAGCAAGCACCCTGGCCATCCCCATGGCTTGGCCTCTGACCTCCAGCTGTGACCGGGGTGGCACAAAGCACAAAACATCCCTGTGGACTCAGCCAGGCACCCGAGCCCCTCAACACACGCTTCAAAGGGCGATCCCAATGACTTGCAATTGTCATGGACTCATGCTTACTCCTACCAGAGATAAGGGAGATTTCCCACAGAATTCATCTGGGAGTAGGATAAAACCACAAGATCATATCATCCCTGCTGCTGTGATAATGAAATATTGTGTAGCTGTTATTAATACTGCATCCAGACGGGAATCACATGGGCAAACGTCTCTGAATCAAATACATTTAAATCAGTTTTAAGGCATATCATCAAGTGCCAGAAGAAAACCTGTAATGAAGGAATAGAGAAATGAAGAGGATTAGAAATGATAAGACACTTGTGCATAGGCCAGGTCTGTGCACGAGGAGCACAGTTTTAGTCTTCGGAAAATACACTTAGGAAATACCGAGCCGTGTATTAGTGTCTAATAAATATTTACTCAGAACAGTTGACTGCACTTCACAAACAAAGTGAGATTTTCATGAATGAGTTAGAGAAATTTATTCTGTATGTAACAGAGCAAAAAGTACAAAAGCCATCTGCTGGAAAAGCACTTGTTAGTGGGTCTTGTCTTCCATCTCTCCACAGAGAGGAATGTTTACCCCCCACTGCTTATAGTGCAGGTTTCCTTTAGATGTTTCCTGACATGCCCACCCTGCTCATGTAAAAGCCACCACCTGGATAACCAGAAGACGTGGATTCTCAGAAAGAGGAGTTTCCACCAGGTGACAATAGCTTCTGGACAAGGGACAGGACCAGGTATCTTCTAGATGAAGACCACCAGCTCTTTCCAAAAAGCCTGTGCACCAGCAGAGAGGCTGTCTGACAGCACCCACCCATCAGAGGTGAGTCCCACCTGTGCCAGGACACGTCCCACCAGCCCAGGAGGGCTGGGATGGGAAACATGGAGCTGGAAGAAAGTTGGCCCAGGGCTTGCAGCACGTGGCTTTTCAGCATGGTTTGCAATGCGGGGTCAGACCAAAGTGAGCCAGAATGAATTAGAAGTTTTGTGAAACAAGTATCAGCTCCTGTAATGCATTTTCCTGAAATATTTTGTTTGACTTGAAATAAAGTAACTTGTTTCCATCTCAAATTATGCCATCCTTTAATAGGAATAATAATAAAGGAGATTTCCACAGGCTTCCCCAAGCAAAACATTCAACTTTAAAACCACGAACACAAGGTGTTTTGAAATCTTTGATTTGAAAATTTGACTGAAATTCAGGAATAGCTTGGCTCTCTTCCACAGGTTCCATGATGTTCCGAGCAAAAAATTTACTACTTCTGGAAGAACTGCACCTCACTGTATCTGCACCCACTCTTCCCCTCCACGCATCAGAGGCTCGTAGCACACACTGCTGGGGGCCATGACGATGGGTGCCAAAAACTTCCCCATTCTGGTTGTGATGAGCAGCTAGTGGTTTGGGGGACAGTATTCAAATGGACCTCTCAAACAAACATTTGATTTAAACGTACTTAAAAAATATGAGACCAGTCCCCTGCTGCGATGTTCTGAACATGCAGTTTCCAACAGCAAAACTAGCATTTTCGTACCACCACCCCCCAACGCTCCACAGTGCTTTCTTCTGTCTGAACTGGCTGACTTTGACCCATATAAATAGCAGTGCAGCAGTAACAAATGCTGTGTTATCACTGTCATTCTATCTCAAAACACAAACACAAGATTGTCAGTTTTACTTCACTATCAGTATACCTCTATATTTTAGTCAAATCTGCACAGTTCTTTCAGAAGTGATTTTGAGGCCTTTTTTTATGCCTTTTTATGTTACGCATGCATGGGGATTCATCAAAGTGCTCTTTACTGAGCTGAGGGTCTGCCACCCAGGTATAAAAGTAGATCTAAAAGATTCAAATGGGAAGGTTTAAGTACTGTTTACAACCTGAAACCTGCAAGAAGCAGGGAAAAAAAGAAAAAAACAGTAAAATTTGCTTGTTAAACAATATCTGACTCCGCTTAAAATTCACCACAGCTGTCAAGTTTGTGGGCAGAAGAGTGCGTGGTCAGGTAGGGTGCTGCTGGCAGCTGAATGCTCTGCTCAGCTGAGGAGGGGGCTCTGGCTCCTGCTCCTCTGCTCACACTGGCAGCTCGAGAGTGGAGCCCCCCGCCGATGCGTTGCACCATGTAACGGCAGCTTCAGAAAATGGGAATCCTGACTGACCCTAAATATAGGTTCTGTTTGAAAAATCCCTTCCTCAGCAAAACTGGATGTCTCGGAGGACGGGTAATGGAATCACCATCCTCGGCAATTACCAAAAATTGGTGCTGTTTGACAGCAACCTTTTTGTGATCGCACACCCCGAGGAACAGCAGCGGCAAGCCCATTCCATGCCTTCTGCCAACGCACCATCACTTCGCTGGTGTCGCTCCAGACTCCTTCACGTCTGCTCGCCCAAGCAAAACAGCAGTGAGTTCAGATTCAATTATAGGTATTTTATAGTCTGGGAACTCGCAGGGTTATTAGCAGGCAAGTTTTTATTTGTACAGATCCCAGCTACAGTCATACATGGAAATTCCACCCGTAAGCACTCTCAGATCATTCCTCTAACATGAATTTTTGCGCTTGCTAACAGTAAAATTACTCACAGAAAGAGGTCAAACGTACAGGTGACTGTTTCCCTTAGCATGTGGGTGCTCAGATTGTGGTAATCACTGTGGCCATAGGTCCTTAGCCAGGATGGTTTTACTGCTTTTGCATTAAATATCTGTCTCTTGCCTGAATGTGTACAACCTTTGTATGACTGCAAATCACCGATTGCATGCATGCAATAATATGCACGCCCTCCTCTTTCCAGTGGTTGAATTTAAGAGTCTTAATATGCAGTCTACTTGTTTGATTTGGTAAATTAGAGAAGAACAAGACTGTGTCTGAAGTGCAATAGGACAAGTAATCACATCCCAGCCTATTCTAACAATGCTGTGCAGTGCCTAAATATATATGGAGTGCTTTGACAGAATAACGCACGCGTATACACACACATGCACAGAGACAGACAGGACGATATGTCATTTATATGTATGTGTACATACCCATATGTACATATAGAGAGAATATTTCAAAACTGAAAAGGAGATTTAGTCACGCAGCTTCCCGATGCTAACTGATACTGTATATCTGCATACACTGCTGGTACTGCAAAAAAAGCCATCTGCACTTGCACTGTATAGCAATTTTTAGTCACATTTCCCATGGAAATAATGATTTATGAAATCATCTCTTTCTGCATGCTTGCTCTCCTTGTAATCCCAAACCTTTTTAGCAGCTTCAGCTACACCTGGAGCTAACTTATTTCTTACAGAATCCATGAAAATAGGCATCCAGACAGAGGAGAAAGCCGCTATCTGTATCATGCTGACGTAAAGGATGTAATATGAACTTATCCTCATCTTAACCCACAGAATCTGCAAGAGACAGCAAATTTAAAAGTCTAGCAATCCTAGGAAAGTTTAAATGGGAACTTTCATTCAGCCACCAGACCCAAGCGGATGGGACTGGCTGTCTTCATCAGTTCCAGTGCTCATGGCACTACTTTGTTTCTGTTGATCTGAAGGAGGTTGTTTCTCCATCCATTTCTGGCTTGGACCTTCAGCAAATTCATTTATCCTGTACAACCATGCTTCTACCCAACATTTTTTCTGTTTGTGAGGAGCTGAATGACTCACTTCCAGATTGTGGGTGAGTGACATATATATTTATGTCAGAAGGAATTAGACCAGTGCTTAACTGATGGAGGAAAAATTGGTCCGAGTATATGGATGACTTCTGGATTTGGCAGCTGGAGAGGAATTAAGCAATACAAGAAATTTCAAGTTTGATTTTCTTGTTCCACATCCTGAACCTTATTTAGTCCCTTCCCAAAGGCACAGAGGTTAATAAAAATGATACACACCTTAGCAAAGCTTGTCCGCCAAGAAGGGACAGGTAGGTTTAGAGTCCCCACGAAACAGTCGAGAATCTCAGCTGAACTGGAGACTTACAAATCCTGGAGTCTGTCCCAGATGATGATGGGAGGAAGATGGTTTCTTATTTCCAGCTCTTCTGGGGCTCCTGACCAAAACCCACACCAGACCAGAACAGTACCGTATGAATTGGCTCCTGCACGGCAATTTCCATGCCCTGTCCTCCTGGAGAGGCAGAGGCAGGAGCTATCTGGGCATGGGTGCTCATGAGCAGGTCATGGTACCAAAGAGCTGCCCAGGAATTTATACAGCAAGTGGCTTTAATGGTGGATCTCTAAACTTGCTGAGGGTTAGGCACCTGTGCCTCTGAAGAGCCCTCCCAGTGGAGCAAATCGTGCACTTCCACACTGCATAAACATTACCATATTGTGGACTGTGCATGCAATGGTAGGATAGAGCTCATTGGGATTCAAGTCACCTCATTCCCATTAATCATGTTAATAATTGAAAACATATGTTCAGCTTGAAAGCACAGCAAGAGAGTTAGGCAACCCTACACGGAAGCACATCGTTACCTAATTCAGATGATACTCGTTAGCGTACCCTTGCCAACCTCAGATAGAAAATCCTCCCACCCTCATCAGCTGCAGTGTCTGCTGTTAACTTCTAATCCAGCCTGACAAAATCCTTCCCTGGGTGCTCATTTCACCTCAGGAACTCCTCTTCAGTTGGGTCTGAACCTTCTCCCACTGCAGGGATGTGTCTGCAGAATCATGCCTCTGGTCGTGGTTGGCAGGAGCCAACACCAGTCCTCCTCACCTGCTGGTGAAGCCCTGTCTGGCTTAGACCAAAAGGTGAAATGAGATATAGAAAGGCTGGTTAAAGAGTGAGCTTCAGCTTTAGGAATGTGCTACTCTTGACTTGAGTGCCTGGTTCAGGCCTGGGTCCCCTCGGCTGCTGCCTCTCCCAAGGAAGACTTTCAGATTTCCCAAGACAAAACAGCCCAAGCAAGATTAAATCATCACAGCCAGCAATATTGCCCTCTCATCGCTCTAGCTAAAGTGAAGTCAATGTTTCTGTTATCAACTCCTTTTCGCCAGAGCTTGCATGATGTAATCATTAAAATGAATTCCAGGTGAAAGCCTACAAAACAAATCCATAACAGAGCAGCAAAGCTCCATTCAAACCTCACTGCGTGTAGGCATGTTGTGTTCCTAACTCAGCACCTCAGCTTTTCCCAGCTATTGAAGCAAAAAGGGGGGCATTTTGCCTCGAATAAGGCAAAGCTGGGCTCTTTGTGAACCCAGACGTGCTATCGAGTTGCTGTGGCACCTGCAGAAGCCACAACAGCCCCTCATGTGCCTGAGCCCCAGCAGGAGAACACAGAGGAGGGAGGAAGTTCAGCTGCAGGTGGAGGAGAGGACAGGCTGGTTTTTCTCTTCAGGTGCCCCCCTCTTCCCCAGCGTGCTTATAAATCACTGCTGCTACTTTTAGTAACAGGAAATAAATAAGTCTGTTTGGAAAAGAGTTTTGCAATCCCGTAACGGAAAGACAGGAAAAAAGAAAGTAAGCAAGCCTTGTCAAGGTATTAATAATATGGTTTAGAGAGACTTCAAAATCCTGGCAAACAATCTAGTTTAGATTGTATGCTGTCCTTTCCTCAGCCCTCCTCTCCTCCTGCACCCTTTCTCCATTGTTCCATAGGCACAGAGGGACTAAATTTCTCCCCGCTGGATAGCAAACCTCGGTTGCTGCCTATCCTTGTGCTGGCACACCTCAAAGGGGCACAGTGTCCCGTGGGGAAGCTCTGGATGAGGAGCTGGAGGGTGGTGAGGGGGGTACACATGATGGCCACAGCAGGAAGCAGGAGCCTGGGGGAGATGGAGCTTGCAGGGGCTGCTCACAAGCAGAGATGGGCTCAGCAGCACAGAGGGCATCTCCTTCCCTCTCCAGTCATGCCTCTTCTCCTTCTTCCCACCTCCTGCCAAATGGTTCCCCCTGGCAGGCACCAGCAAAGACAGTTCCCTGCTTCTGAGCTGCACAGCAACAGGAATGTGCAGAATAAGTCAAGGCCCAAGTGCTATTTCATCTTCCTTCAGGGAGTAGGATCTTGCAGGCTCTAATGCACTGTTGGTCCCATTTCTGCCTCATTTAGGCAGAAGGAGGGGGCTGCCTCTGGGGTGCAGTTTGGAACTGGAGGAGATAATCAACATCAAAACGTCTAAATCCAGGGCCCACTGCGGGGTGCACCACAGCTTTTGAAAGCTGGAGTACCACAGGTAGGGGTGAGACCCAGCAGATAAGGTCCTGGCACCCTGGTGCCTCCAGGCCTCATCCTGCATCCCTACTAAGTTGGTTTGTGCCTGGGGCTTCCCCAGGGGAGGCTGGGGGGAGAAGAGCTCTGCACATCCAAGCCCGCAGACCACGGTAACCCAGCCCTCTGCTGATTAGACCACTCTGGTATTTTTCATCAGGAAATGTTGGAGGATCCTTTGGAAAATATAGGCCAAGGCCTCAAGCAGTGTAAATCAGCGTAACTCCCCTGAAATGAATCACCAGGGATCTGTCACGTGAAGTGCTCGGGATTACTATTGTATAAACAAACTGCAGAGGCTTGGGCAAGGCCCAAGGAGACGGGATTGCAGACAGCCCCAGCACCCTCCATCCCCAGCGTCCCTGCCTCCTCCCACAGCTAGCAGGTATTTCCCTGCATGGTTTGCTCAAAGTGCCCGCGCTGCTCAGCTCCCACCAAGGGCTTTGCTCCATTGCCCTGTGCCAAGACTTGCTTTTGCTTGGGAAGTAGAGCTCATTTCATGCATTAGCAGCAAGTCAGAAGATATTTCAGTTGTCAACACGAATCAACAGACCACGTGCTCTGTACCCACCTCACCCTCTTCCTGTGATAATATTCACCCACAAACACCCCAGCTGCTACTCCCTGTAGCAGGCCTTTCTCCCCACCACTAAGATCTAGGGCCAAACATGAGGTGAGAAGGGACCATCTTGGGGCTGCTCCCACCAAAGGGCCCTGGCAGACGGCTGGCAGAGGATCTGCACGCTGGGGGAGCAGATCAGGCTTCACCCCGCAGAGAAGGGGGAAACTGAACCAGCCCCTCTGACCTGAGGGGAAAATCCCTCCTAGCCCCAAATCTGGCTGAGGGTTTAGCTGAGCATGTGAGCAAGGCATATGAGGCAGGCACTTCTGTTATCAGCTTGGAGGAAAGCCACACTAGTGATCTCATGCAGGGGGAGGCTATTTTGCCAGAAGGAACAGAATTAGACCCGAATTGTTGTTTCCTCTCTGCTTCCCAAAACTCCTCTCCCTGATTAAAAACACGTTTATAGTATCTTTTCCTTTAAGACTCTAAACTTTTTGGCTACATCTTCTCTTTTCCATGTCTGGTGAAGGCCAGAGCTACGAGTGCCAAAATGTTGAATGAAAGTTGTTGGGTTTTTTTGTTTTGTTTTGTTTTGTTTTCTGAGGAACTCTCTTGCTGTTATGGCTTATCCCAAAGCTACAAATAGTTGAACAGAGTTAAAGAGCTGGGAGAGAGGTGGTGACCGAGCCAGAGACACAGACCTGGGAAATTTTTTTGTTCCAGACCTGGCCCCTGCTGCAGCGCCATCCGCCTCCTGGAGAATCCCCCTTCGGCCCTGGCCCCGCCAAGCACATGAGCTTCCTTAGGAAAGTCACAGGACTACGCCAGCGGAAAGCCAAGCACGTGCATCGCTGCACTGCCCAGCCGGGGGCCCAGGAGTCTTAAGTATAAATCAATGGGCCCACTCACGTGCTTAAAATAGGGGCATATGTTTAAACACCTTGTTGGATCAAGGACTTAACCCCTCTTTCTCACAGCTGAGCAAGCTTCTAAAAGGCTTCCAGCATGCTTACCATTTTGTTTTATTATTTTATTTTTTTGCTGGCAGTATTTGAAGCATCAAGACTAACTTAAACCAGTGTATATAAAGCACAACACTAATCCAAATGCCACACGCCTAAGGGGATAAGTGGGATGAATGGATAATAACTGCATTTACTAACTCCATGGCTTTCTCCATTTTATTTCTTTTGTCAGGGGGACCTTAAAATCTTTTCTTTTAATCTAATCTCTTGGACATCCTTGCATGGGAACATCAGGAAAAAAACAAGATTCAAGTCCCAGTGCAATCATGTGTCCAAGCATTTTGTACCAGGTTTTGATCTGCTCATCCCAAAAATGAGCCTGATCCTATTTTCCCTGAAGGTCACAGTAAAATTCCTTACTGACATCAATGGGAGCGGGAACAGGCAGTCAGACTTGTAGTTAATAATGCAATTATTCCAACTCTCGGGATCCTTTCTTGCCTGAATGGCTTTCATACCTACCTGTCTTCTCTAATGACTCTGCCAAACCCCTGCTCCTGATGCTGGAGCTGGTGGCACTTCGCAGAGTATGGAAAGGAGCTGATGCCGGATCACAGCTTCCAGAGGTTGATGTGCCTAAAGTTAAAGATAGATTAGAGGTTGCAATCCATAAAACTCCCTCTCTATTGTCTTTCTCAGTCTTGTCCCCATGTGTTTCCACCCATCAAGTCATGGCTTAAAGCGTTACAAAGGACTTCTGCCACAGTAGACACCTGGAGCTGAAATGAGGAGATTAATTCTGTGCTTGTTCATTACCTGGAAACGTAAACGGCAACACCGGGATGTAAAACAGGCAAGTGAACACCTCCATTGGAGCTGCGGAGCCTTTTGGATGAAATTATTTCTCTTTGCAGATACCCTTGTGGCTTGCCGCTATTCCTTTTGTCCCTTTTCCATTTGCTTGATTTCTTCTCTTTATGCTGCATCTGTAACATTTTGTTCAGGGTTGCTGCGAGTGAACAACAATTTAGGATGATGAATTATGGATTGAAAGAGCAGGCTGGGCTATTCTGGAAATAGTGCTCAGTGCCTTCTGAAGGGACAAAGGAATTCCAAAATGACAGATTTTCAATTATTTGTATTGAAGAAGAGAGGGAAAGAAGGGAAGGGAAGTAAAAGAGGATTGGGAAGGCAGGCAGGAAGAAAGGGAATGAATGAACAAAAGAAAGATAATTTCTTCTGTTCACGGCACTGAGAAAGCTCTCCATTCTCTAAATAATTTTCCCTAGAAGACTTTCCAGGGAAAACATTGAAACCCATGTGAATTTTTAGTGGTGCTTACAAACGCAGTCCCCTGAACCTAATGGGAGTGACTCACGGGATCGAAAGCCGCCCGGTGCTTGTGGGGGTTGCAGATGGTTGTCCTCCTCCTCCTCCTCTGCCGCTGAAATCCCGATGCATAGGACTGTGAAATAACCCAGGAGGGCTCTGCTGGAAATTTGCAGTCCTGTGTTAAAAACCACAAACAAACATTTTCTCAAGTACTGCAAGCAATATCTGCATAAATACTCCCTCCCTTGGCTGGCAGATTATGGGGAAAACAATTGCAATTTTGTTGACTTAACTTCAGCATTTGAAAACTATTAATAATGAGGCATGGGGGAGGCTTCTGTTGGGGAACAGAAACTGCCATCTAATTCAACTGCAATTTAGTGAGCTATAGGCATTTTTGAGGGCTGCTGTGCAGAAATGTTAATCCTTGTCTGAAATGAAAGGACATCATCGGATAGGGGGGTGTTTTTTAAGTAGGTAATTTGTTGCTCATTTTAGCAAGCGCAGCAGTGTGGCTGATGAGGTACAGCACACAACCAGCACGCAAAAACCCTGCCCAAAGCCCGGTATTGCTCTCAGACTGTGGACAGGCAGTGGACAAGTGAATTTTGCCATCCTGATCCCCATCTGCAACCGAGAGCTGCAGTGTTCAGACCAAGGTGTGCTTTGGGAGCCTGGGGCAAAAAACTGCTGTCTATGTACATGAGGGTGGTGCTGCAACAGCTGGCTTTTGGAGACGTGTCCTCTTTCTTTTAGACTGCTTAATATCAATTTGTTTTGTTTAATAAATTAACAGTAATGTAGTCATTTCATGCTCCACTCTGCCTGTTTCTGTGACCCTGGTAATATAAGTGTCAGGAAGACACAGCCATGCATCTAACCAATTCCCCACTGTCTGCTCCTCCAGCTTTCCTCTAATCTCGGCTGAATAGTTTCATTACATGACATGTTAACGCACCAGCAGAGCTGGAAAGGCTGAGTGCTCCGCTAGGTGTACACAATGTAAAATCATTAGGGTTGCTTAAGAAGCTTCCCAAATGCTTTCTGTCAGCAGTGAGATCGCAGTTACAGAATTAACTGGAACAGACCACATCTCCCCCTCGCCGACCCACAGCTTGCCAATGAGGGGATACCGTTTCAGTGGAAAAAAGGTATCACCTGTCAGAAGAACAATAAGAACATGAATAGCATATGGAAACCATTTACTGGCTACCACAGTATGCTCTCAACGAGCACTCTGAAAATTCGAGTACTGCTCGGACCAAGCTGGGGTCAAGCAACCCGGTGCTGATGCTTGTGTCGCCCTTCCCCTGGAGACCCATGTGGATGAATAAATCTGTGAGGGGAGCAAGACTTTGAGACACTTGTGCTGGTGGGGCAAAGGCATCAGCCTCTGATGATGGACACATGGGATGGGGTAGGATGGTGTGGGGCACGCCGCCCCCCTGCCCTCCCCTCTGCCTGGGTATCATGGGTCTGTGTTGCTGGTGGGGATGCTACGATGCTGTAGGCAAGAGGAGAGCTCCCTTGGCCTGCCACTGTGGTCCATGCAGAGCAGGGAGGTCCTACAGAGTGCTTCATGGAGGTCCTGAGGGAGGCCCCTGCTTTGAGTTATTCGCTCTGGTCATTATCCCTGCCTCTCCCTGCATGCCAACCACAGGCCATCCCACTGGTTCTCCCTCCCCGAAGGGATGGCTAATGGAGCTGCTCTGGCCATGGGCATGCTAATCCTAGCCAGATGTTTCCCAGAGCAATTAAAATCCATGGACAGCTTGCTACTTCATACTGGGCCACACAGTCACCAGGCTGTTACTGTCACCTCAGCCCCATCTCCACAGAGCAACCATAATCCTTCCCCAGGCCACCACACACATAAGCCAGTATAATGGATAGCTTCCTTTCCTGGCATTTTAACCTTTCCTTCTCCTCTCCAGGCCTGGACCTTATGCACCACCCTTCTTCCTTTCCTATATCCCATCCCAAAGCTCCCCTTGGTTCCCTTTGCTACAGCATCCACCATCAAAGTCTTCCTCCAAGTGGCTCACAAGGTGGCAGTTCACACAGAACAGCCACCGCTGTGGGTCTTTTCCCCTCTTATTACTCTGCATTGCTCTTATTTTGACCTTTGTGTATTATCTGGAGAGCTCCTGAGGCATCCCCACCTTGCACACTGTACTGACAGGTCGTATATAGACCAGACACAGGCCTCCAGGGCTATTCACCCAGCCCATGGCCTGCTCCCTGGTGCCTTTTCCCTTCCCTTCCTTTCCAGAAAGAAGATGGGAACCAGGCCCACCAGGTCGTCCTGGTGATAGGCCACCTCCTGGGGCACCCCAGCAATGGCAAGAGCATCATGAACAGCACACTCAGCCCCATGGCTGAAGAGACCCAGCGAGCCATGAGGCCTGTCAAGCCTCATCGTATGCTAGGCCTGAGTGATATTTCCTTCCACTGAGGTCCTACAGACAGCTGGGGCTGGGGACTGGGCACCTTCCCCAGGCAGCACACAGTGCAAAACACTCATGCTTGTGTGATAAACTGGGGAGTGGTGAGGGGATTTATGGCCAGAGGCTGGGCAGGGGCTCGGTCAGGTAGAGGAGAAACAGTTCTGGCACCCAGCCCACCCTGACACCAGAGTAACAGCACCACCCACCCAGCTGGAAAGTTTGGGCTCGCTGCTTTGTATTTGTCTAGGCAAGAGCTTGCTAAGTGTTTTTACACTCTCTGCTTATTGTAAGGAGCCGTGTATGTCTCTGCTTCCCTCAGAGGTAGGGGAGGGGGTTTGAAAATATTCAGCTCTGGTTTGTTCCATGAGGGACAGGGGGGGCAGAAGGACGGTGCTTGAGGAAGGCTGCTCCTGAAATGCAGAGGAAAACCAATTGCCAATCCATAAAGCTGCTAACAGAGCAGCTGTGAAGGAGGACAGGCCTTAAACAACACAGGGCACCTCAGCTCAGGAAAACAGAAGCAGCAAAGCTGCAGGCACAGCAGCTGGCTGGGCTGCGGCTGGGTCCTGCCTAGGGGTGCGTGACAGGTGTTGAGTTCATTTTTCATCTGTTTCCATCCTTGTTCTCTGTGTCGTCGAAGTGGCCTGGAAGTGGAAAGCAGAGACAGAGGAAAGCCTGACCCTCTTGGTCAGCTCAGTCCCAGCCACCGCCAGGCACAGACACCCTGTGCATCCATGGGCATCCAAATCCTCTGCCTGGACACGCGGTCTGAGGGCATCTCATGGGGGTAAACACCTCCATGGAGCCATCACATAGCCATGTGGCGTCCCAGTCCTCTCCAGCAGCCCACACAGGTTAAGTGCAGTGCACGTGTAAAGTGACACAGGGCTGGGGCATTAGACATTTAGCTGCCACTGGCAGCTAAACTTTCTTATTTCCTCACTAAAGCACCTTACAGGTTTTTGCTGATACACAAGTAATCATTTTAAAAGGCACTGAACCTGCTCAGCCCAGCTCAGGTACCACCTTCTAATCAACATGAGAAATTTCATCCTCTGTGTACAAAAAATTTTCGGCAACAGACTTGCCCGCCACATGCCCACAGAGATAATTAAATGTCAATGCCAGAAAATACGGAGCTAGAGGTTGGCAAAATTTCTCTAAGCCTTTTCATCCCCAGCTTTTGAGTTCATGGAGAAGGAAAATGGGAGTTTGGCAATGACTGGAGATACAAGGGAATCTGCGAGAACCATTTTTTCTGCGAGCGGAGAGGGAAGATTTCATTTATCTTTTTATCTGTCAAGGTACTGCACTAACTTATGCACAGCCACGAATCCTGCTCAGTGTATGATATTATACTACATGACTGCTGATGCTTCTTTTTTTTTTTGTAAAATATGTTTTGGCTTATTGAGTTGCTCTACCAAATCACTCACTTCTCCGTTTTTCTGCCTCTTTTTTAATAAAGATCGCCTGACATATATTGTATAAAGGCTCTCCCCATCTCACACACCACAAAGCAGCAGTGTAAATACAAATTTGAGGAAAGAGAGAAGAGAAACATAACTGGATATAAATGCCATCAGGCCTGTGTCACTAGCAATCAGTGGAAAGTGTAGGTTAAGTTAAAAAAAAAAAACACACACAGTGGCTGGGAAATGGACTGTTTCGTGTGTGTACTTTGGGGCAGAGGCAGTTAATCGACAGAGGGAGAAAGTCACAGCAGAACCAAGCCTTTGGCTGCACACCAGCCACGTGCCTTCTCTCCCTGGCCAAAATCTTAGTCCAGAAGCGGCTTTGCACAGCCTCCTTGGAGAAGACAGCGAGTTGATATTTTTGGTCACTGCACAGGCTGCTGTCCACACATGCGTGGGGTTGTGTTGGCATAATCCTGCCCCTTATCTTTTGTTTTCCTTGTTTACTCTCCCTCCTCATCCTGATGTTCTTGATCTCTTGCTGGACTTCAGCACTTCCCTTGCCAATGATATTATTGGCTTCTCAATTGTTTTCCTCGTGTTTCCTGTTCCACATGCTTTTGACAGCCTCAGCCTGGTCTCCCACCACTTCCACCTTCAATATACTGCCACTGCTCTCAGCTTGTGGAGCACTTCCCACTGCTCTGTTTCCAGCACTGGGCAGCTGGGAATAACTTGCTTCTCCTCCCTCCTTTTCCTCTCTCCTTCCTGCACAGCCTCAGCTCTCCATCAGGGATGGAGATGTCTGCAGATGTCTGCTTATTCCACCAGGCTGTGAATAGCCTTTTCTGCTTTACATGTGGGAACTGAGGACATGGACGTTGCACGTTTTTGGTGTTCAGATATCACTAGGGACAGGGGTGAGCAAGGGAAATCAGTAATGATCTATTGTAAATCAGCTTGCAGGACTCCACCCTCCTCCTCCTCTATCTTGGCCTCTCCATCACTCTCAACACAGGCAACCACACACTTCTTGTCTTCCCTGCATGTGATTTTCCCACCCCTTCAACTGGGAGGTCTTCTTTGGCCTTTCTTCAGTTTTGGGGGCTTCAAGGCTCTGTCCTTGGTTCCTCCTCTTTCACCATCCCATTTGGTCTCTGGGTGGTTTCATTTGCAAGCAGAATTCAAATTCCTCATCATTACCAGATCTACCAGCTATTGCAGTTCAGTCTCATGGCCAGTCTTTCAGACATTTCTTTCTAGATGTCTGTTCAACCCCAACATGGCTAAAAAAAAAATAATGTATCTTTATCCCTCTCT